GTTCCAGATGAAAATACATCAAAATATTCTTTTGATACTTATGATGAAAATATGTATGAATTACTTTATGAAGCACATATTATGACACAATTAAAACATCCAAATCTTTTACGTATATTTGGTGTTACATTTTTTGGTGATAAACAACAATTAAGTTTAGTTACAGATTTTATGAAAAATGGTTCTTTATTAAATTATTTAAGAAAACATCGAGAAATTTTTTTTAAATCTGATTCTCAAATAATAACAAGAAAATTAAATAATTTTGGAAGACAAATATTTGAAGCTATGCTTTATTTAGAAGAACGAAATATTATTCATCGAGATTTAGCAGCTAGAAATTGTTTAATTGGTCAACATGATAAACTTAAAGTTGGAGATTTTGGTTTAACTACGTATGATAAAAAGAAAAAAAAAAAAAATTAAAATATTTGTTTTGTTTTAATTAAGATTGACTGATTGTGGATTGTACAAAGGTAGTGGTCATTCAGTATGTGCTCCACGTTGGACATCACCTGAAGCATTATTTTTATCAAAATATTCTTCTCGTTCAGATGTTTGGAGTTATGTATGATAAATTCGTTTTTTTTTAATTTAATTATTATTATTTTATTTAATTAAAATAGGGTATAACTCTTTGGGAAATATATTCGTTGGGTGAACGACCCTTTGGAAGTATCAACAATTATGCTGTTCATATTCTATTAAAAAATTCGTCAGAAAATATTAGTGATTTTCTTCCACAACCACAAAATTTTGGTTCCATTGAAGTATATACGCACATTATTCTTTCTTGTTTAACATATAATGTTACTATGCGACCACGTTTTCGTGATTTAAGAGACCGTCTTATGACTATTCTTACAAACGATCAATAATAATAAAAAAAACACATACTAAACTTAGTATGATTTTAAACGAAATAAATATATTAGAATAATATTTTTATTTTTTATTTAACATTGAAGTCGATATAATATCGAGAATATCTTTTGTCTATATTCAATTAATGAATTATCTCAATAAACAATAAAACAATTATAGGACAAATACAAAACTATATCGAATATAATAGAACAATTATTCAAATAATTAGATCGAACTAAGGAAAGCTGTGGTTATTATTTAAATATGCTAGAATTGAAGTCTAATCTACAGTTGACTAATATCTAACTATAGTCAATTAATCGTATTATTTATATATTTTCTAATTTCTATTTTACATTTGTCTAATATTTTATTTGTGTTAACCAAATGAACTGACCTATGTTTCAAATAATTAGTTCTGATTCTATGGACATTTATTTTTTTTTGTCTTTTGTAATTCGACATTTTTTATCATAGATTTTAATAGCAATCTTCGAAGTATAGGATGTGGCTGTGACTGTCACTACACTACAGCTACACCCACACCCACTGACAAAAGCGATTATAAACAAACAATCGATATAAACATATATATACATATGTTTTATCCTTGAGAAAAGTGTCTCTGTCTCAATAAAGTATGATTTGATCTTATATTTATCTTCTGAATTCATCATCTGATGAGATATTCATTATTCAATATAAAGAATGAATGTCTCAACAGTTTATTGCAATATTTGTATCGATATATTGCTAACAATTGAGCATAAAGTGAAATATTTTATTCTTGAAGTAGTTTCAATGAAACATATTCTTCTTGCTGATCAATATTCAAATCTCGATGACCTTTAACTTTTTAATTTCAATGAAAAGATCGTTTTATATTATATAACAGTTAAGATAAATAAGATAAGCAATGACATTAAATAGATATTTCATAATATGTTATTTCGATCAATCATCTCTTTGATATATATTTCAAAAATAAATTACATACATTATTCTTGCAAATAATGACAAATACAATATGATAGAATCATCGAAAAGACTATATATATTAGGAAATGCGTATGAATATATTTTAGTGTTATCAAAAGATTTAATCCTTCATATCTATTTTTATCACTCAATTATTTTTGTTGTTCTCTTAAACTCTAATTATTGTTCATGAAATATATTATACAGACGATTGTTTATTAATCATTGACAAAACAGTAAAATCAACTATGCGATGAACGCGACTCATAACAAATCTCTACACGTTTTTGTTGGTCTCAAATTATTTGTTTTGTATTTTTCTTTAATTATCATATTATTATTTAACGTTAGTCTTATTATAAATATTGCTGCAACTCTGAAACTAATATAACGATTATATTAAAAATTCATACTTTTGATCTGCATCTCATCTTGAATACTATTGATTGACATAGTTTAAATTCTACTTTCCAGATATGAACTTCTATATAAATGAATATAATAAGAATTATCTCACATTCTATGACAAAGAACAATTCCGATGTTGAATGAAGATTCAATCATATTTCTACTTTTATTCGTGCAATATTCGATCTCATCATAATTAAGTCAATGGCAATTATAAAGAGCATTAAGAAATTGATAAGAAAATACTAATTAGTAAAAACTTATCAAAAAAATCCTACTTGAATGACATGATCAAGTAGAACTTTGTATTTTCACTAGAAATAAATCTTGATGAACTATATTAATTTTCAAAGGATTTTAATCGATTATTTTCCTTTGTCTATATTATATTGTGTAAGATAAAAATCTTCTATTGAAAAGTTTTGATCGTAACTTTTAAAAATAAACAAAAAAAAAATGTCCAAAGAGTATTTTTTTTATAGCATAAATTAAGTCTCTGATCAATGAGTTAATAAAAAACAAGACTAATTTTAAACTTTATTGTTTTCATTAAAATAAATCTAAAGGAAATTTATAAAGTTTAATTGTACATAAAAATTAGCGTTATATTTCTTTATTTTTCAATGCACATAAATATTAAAAAGATAGAACAGTTTAATATTGTTCAAATATCAATAGAAGAATAACTAACAGAAAATCGAATGTTACAATCTTGTTTCGATTATAAGGATCAATGAATATTGACTTATTCTGTTTTGAAACGTCAATTATTGAATTGAATAAAATCTAATTATTATAAATAAAATAATAATAAAAATAATTGATTGTTGTTTAATATGGCTTCTATTACAAAGATTATAATGACAACAATAAACTCGTACATCGTTTGTCGATTCTGGTATACAATTACGTGAAAAACCTTTACTTATTAAATATCGATGTGTTGTCGGCAGATAAACCACCGTTTTCTATATAAAAGAATTTTTATTTTTATTTTCTCAATAGAAAATTGAATACCATGCATTGACCAAAATCTGGTGGTGTCATTGTTATTTGACCATGCATATGATAAAATGGTTCGGGACAATCACTACAAGAATAACATTGAATCTCTCTGTTATCATAATGAGACCATTGACTTTTGATTTCTATAGACGACAATTAAGAAATTATTAAAGATTAATCAATTATATAACTAACTCGGTAGAAATAAGATGATTGACATAAATAAGAACATTGTTTCAAAAATAAAAGTATTTTCGAATTTGATAGATTGAAGAGGCAAATATTTATTGGTTATATATATATATAACGATGTTTTCGTTTCTTGAATAAATAATTAATGTTACTGAAATGTACAATAAATTTTATTCAATCTTTCAAAAGAAGATTCTTCAAATAAAACAATAATTTAATTACTTAAATATTTGATGAAATTGATTGAAGAATATTAAGATCAATTCTATGCATTACTTACCTCGTCTTCGAACAGAAAAAACAAAATATTCGATCTATTTGAAAAAAAATCACTGATCGAATGAAACAATTTTATCAACTGAAAAAATTACGGTTAATAGAAAATAATTAGAATTTATCAATTATTCTTAATATTAATAATGTATCATTACCAGACATATATGTATTGACTGCACTTTAATCATATCAACTATTAAACTATTTTTACAGGTACTTTACGTTTTTTATAAAAATAATTCTACAACCAACGGTGAAACGTAATAGAAGAGACTAAATTATCGATAGACTCGTTTTTTATGAAATTTCGTTCGTTTTATTACTTCATTTTGATACTAATGTCTTTATTTTAAGAATTAAATCTTAAAATCATTGTTGAGAAAAAGAAACGTATTCTAATAGAAAGTTGATCTTATTTAAAACTTAGCGAGTTTTTTTTGCCATAAATATAAGATTTAAATGTATCTTAAACTTAAATTGACAGACATTTAACTCAAACATAAGGTATGAACGAAAAGAACACTCTAGAAGTAAATATTAAAAAATATATATCTCTAAGCTCTCTATCTCAATAAAAATTTTATCAGTGATAATTCAAGTCAGTCACTTATTCTTCTCATTTGACCAACATGTAGAATTGGATAAAACTAGCTACAAACTGGAAATATATGATAAATATTATACATCGGAATTCTATTTTGTCAAAATTGAACAACACTCAAGAGATATTAATATATGGAAAGTGATATTTTAATAATTGATCGTTTCTTGTATCTGTTTCAGTAGTATCCTCATTGAGAGACATCCACTATCTTTGCTTTCGTAGCATCCACATCGAGATAGGGGTACCGTATGTTTCCATTAATAATCGAGTATTTAAATATGTTAGCTCAACAATTAAATTAAAGTCTCAGATAAAACATACGTGTCTCCAGCAAGTGAAATGAGTTTGTGTGTTGCATAAATTACATTTAGCATATACTAAATCGTCTTCTAATATCGAAAACAAACAATAAATTATTTTTATTTGCTCATGAGAAATAGGAAATATAAATTTTGCTTTCTGAAGTTATGATGACAAAGCTTATTTTAATATCTTCGAATAACTATAAAAAGAAAAGTAAAATATGTTGTCATCTTGCAAATATTGCTCTTTATTTATTTGTTATCACATGTAGAAGTCAACATTATTTTATTCGTTTCAATGAAATTTACCACAAAAATAAATTTGATTATTAAATTAGTTACAATTATTTTTATTTTAATTAAAATAAATGAAAGTACAATATATTGTCCATCAAACGTTCGTTGTATGGATGAAAATCGTTTAAATTGTAATAAATCATTATTATCTTCAACAGATTTTCATTGTTGTGAATGGTCTTCAATGTATTTCTGTTCTAATACCATCTACTGATACACAAGATCAATTCAATACAACAATGTGTGTTGCTTCTTCATTTAAAAAACACAAAAATAAAAATAATATTCGAACATGGAAAATTCCACCTATTATGGCATCATCTTGGTCAGCAGCAACAACATATTATCATATGTCAAATGGTGATACAGGTTGGGGTTATTTTTGGTATGATGCATCTCATCAAGCAATTCGAACTGATTTTTATCCAATGTGTCCTTTTTTACAATTATATCAATCTGGTATTGATCAGAATTATATTCCATGTAGTGGAATTTTTTTTATCAACGACTAAATTATTATGTTTATCTATCAGTTCAAATATGTTGTAATTATACATTTCCAGCATGGCAACCGGATTGGTTATGTCAAAGTAATGCTACTTTTAATGGAACAATCCTTATTAATGGACAACTAGCAGATTTCTGGATGATTGAATGGGTATTTTTTTTTGTATATTATTAAGATTAAACTAAAGATTTTTGTTTGTCTTTATAGTTTTCTAATTTTACTGGTGAAGGACCAGTATGTAATATTCGTAATATGTATACTCAAGTTGATTCACATATTCCAATACATTTTCGAGAAGATCTTGATACTGGTTATATTGATTTTCATGATTATGTTGAAGGTCCTATTGATCAAACAATATTTACATCAGTTATTAATGGTTATAGTCCTTGTCATCAAGGTCATGGACATAGTGGAAATAGTGATAAAACATGTACTAGATACAATTCATAAACATAACGTCGATCATGGCCATGTGATAATCCAACATGTTCATAACAATATATTATTTGTTATCTTATTTTTAAATATTTATTTTCTATTATTAAGAATATCACAAGAAAAAAAGAAAATAATACAAATTGAATCGAATTAAGTTTGATTGATTGTATTTAAATTAATCCTACTTAGATTAACCATAAAAAATATGTTAAAATATAATTTATAGATGATTATTCATCACAATAAAAAACAACAACGAAAATTGACAGAGAAATATGCATCATGTTACTCTAAGAATATAGATTATAATGTTTAGATCTAAGATGTGTGTGCATATCTGTAATGAATATCATTGCATAAATAAAGTCATCAAGATATAATTATATCAGACATAGGTATTTGAAAGAGACACAAACAATCTCAGATCATCAATCTATATCATTAGTAGATCAAGCTCGTCTAGCTGATTCAGCGAACACTCATATTTTCTTTCATAGTGAGTAACTTGACTCGAATTAAATACATACGAAAAATATTAGGCTTTTATATGATAGCCAAATATAACTAACTAATAGAGATCGATTTTCTCTATTGAAAAATCTTATAATTTAATTTCTCATATTAGTTATTCGGTTTAAACCATTATTGGAACTACTCCTCTTTTCAAAAAATACTAAACCATCAATGTTTTCAGGATGTTTTTTTTTTAGAAAGTCATAAAAAAACTACATATCAACCGATGGAAATCTTCATAGGAACATAGATCAAGAATGGATTAACCGATTGAGCTGAAATTGTTTGTGTTGACATATATCACCAATAAGTTATACTCAGAATAAACACTGATGCTTTACATTTTAATAGATCATCCGATATAATCAAACTTCACTTTTTGAGCAATTTTTGTGCTTCATAACTGATGATTAGAATCAAATAGAGCTTTGAATTGTTTGTACTATTAAAGTTTATAGAGGCGTATATTCTATTAAATATTTAGGTCATTTATGCCATTTTGTTCGATCAATGGTAATGTGTAGGTGTGGCGAAATGTTGATGGATATTATTGAAGAGAGAACATACAAATTCACATTCTAATATTTTCTCTTCAATTAAGAAAAAAATGTTCTGAGAATAAAGAAGAGAAAATTCTAAAATATGAATAACGATTATTATTAGTTAATATATTATTTGTTTGATTAAATAAAGATTTTGAATAGAAAACTAAGTTTGAATAATAAATAAAGAGAGAAAAGAAAAGGACATGGGTAAAAGAAAAAGTTGTTTTTAATTATCGATAGTGGGTGACAGACTTTTTACCGCTGTTGTTCAATCTATTTAAATATTCATTAACATCGAAACAATTCAATGTACTTTTTTTCTCATAAAACAACTAAACATCAATCGGATCATTAAGCTCAAATTCTATTCTTTAGTTTTCATTGAATTGAACAAGACAATGATTATGTCATTTCTAATACAACCACATTTATATTTACTTCTACATTAACAAAAGAAGACAAAAAAAAATAAAAACAATAATAAACTTTGTAAATTTTTTTCTTATCGTTTTCATCATGTTAAATGTTGTTTTTATTTTTTTATCAAAATTTAAACTTTTATATTTCAAAAGAGATCGACCGACAACATAAGAAAAAAAAACATTCAGGACAGAAAGATTAATGAGCTTTTTGTTTTTTTCTTTAGTTCTTCGATATTCTTTATTTTATTTGTTAGCTATATGATTTAACAATTTCAAATAAAGATTCGATATATTACAAAAATAATATCATCAATAGAAAATTTTCAAAGAAATTTTAATAATAATATTCGATCATATATATTTAGAAAATTCAGATAGATCCATTGAATATGGTTTTTTATTAAACAATATTATTGATTATTCATTTAATTAATACTATTAAGTTTATCAAAAGTTTTCTGATCCTTCTTTCGATTTCGAACATCTCTTTTTATTATAGATTAATCCTATATCTAACTATCAATTTTTGACGTTCTTAAAAAGGAAATGAATAATGACACAAAAAAAAACCAACGTTCGAGGTAAAGAATATGAACTATGTTTGGAATTTCAATATAACGTTATTTTTAAACTTGGAATTCTTTCACTTGAATTGATTGATAAATAAGATTATTCATGCAGAATATGTTACTTCTAATAAAGTATAACAAAAAATTTTCTTCTTTATTTGAACAATAATCAACATGTATATTATTTATTTCTTATCTGAAAATTCTAAATCGTTTTTTTTCCTCCCCCTACTGATAATTGTTTGTTGGCAACAGGTTTGATTTCTAAAATTTGTTTTTATTGAATATAGATCTTCTATAAATAATATCACAACTTTGAATAAGATTCTTCTCACTTGTTTTTCGTTTTTCGTGTTATTTTTTTTTTGTTATGTCTCTGTTTATGGCCATGAAAAAAAAAACATCAGATTTATTTCTTTAATTATTGTTCTTTATAGAAGATGATCGATTTTATTCTGTGAAACACGAAGAAATAGTATCCTTTCGTTTTTTTTTTTTTTTTTCTTCTTTTTTTTAGACCAATAAGAAAAAAACGAGCAAAAGAAACATGTTGATTGGTTCGAACGGTCATGTCAATGCAAAAGAAAATCGAAGAAAAATCGTTGTCGACCTTTTTTTTTCTTCTTTTATTATATCCATTAAGCAATTTAATGGATCATTTTCTGTCACTAAACTTAACTTCGATTTCTTTCATCAGTATATCGTTCGATCTTGAAGAATATTTCTACAATCATTAATTATATTTTATTCCAAGTTCTTCACTCAGTTGAGTATCATCATTAACAAAACAAAAACACCAGACAGAAAGAGAGAGAAAAACGATTATCTTTTTATTTGATCGTTCGATCAAGAAAAAAAAAAAAGAAAAAGATGAGTTCTCTTTATTCTTCTTCTTCTTCTTCTCTTCATTTAATGAATAATAATAATAATAATAATAATAATAATAATACTTATGGAGTCGATAGTAGAAATGTAAATTATTCAAATCGACAACAGTTGTCCGATAATAATGTCAATGTAAATAATTCTTCATGTGTTCTACAAACTCCTATTGTTGATTATTATGAACAAGAATGTTTTAATGAAAGAGGATCTCGACAAATATCTATTTATAATAATGATATTTATCAAGATAATACAAATCATTTTTATCGATATAATCTTATTTCATCAACATCAAATAATCAATCAAGGTAATTATCTCTACTATTTTAAAATTAGGTTTTTTTTTTAAATAATTAATATAAATACAATAGTTCCTCGATATGCCAACATTGATAGACGAGAAAGGAGAGGCTCTATCTAATCACTTTTTTTTAAAAGAAAGTGCAGGAATAAATAAAAATTATTGAGGATGAGAAAAGGAAAGGAAATTCTAAAAGACTTCTATAGATCGTTGTACCGTTTGAATTATCATAATATATAAAAAAAAGCGTTTAATAATTCTAGTGTATATCCATGTCAAAATGGTTTAATTGGAAATTATTGTGAAGAAAATGTTTTATCATCCGTGGGTCAAAATCTATGTTCACAAAACGATATGATAAATTCAATTAATTCAATGTCTCTTGATTTATATGGTTTATCAGTAAGTCCTCCTCCTGGTATGCGTCGATCATCCCCATGTTTAACATCATCAATTGAACCATCAAATGAATTATTATCAACATCAATTGATTTAATTCCATCATCATCATCATTAAATAAAGAAGAACTTAATTCACCTGTGATTTATCCATGGATGAGAAAAGTACATATTAATAATCCAGGTTCGAACTTTTTTTTCTTTCTTTTTTTGAACATTAGATCGTATATATATTTATATTGTTTATTTAATCAGATCAGTCAATCAATAAGATTGTTTTTCTATTATTGTCGATATATTTGTTATAACACCTTGTTCTCTTTTCAAATCGTCAATATCTTTTTAACGACTATTGAAAATCTCACTTCATTATTCATCATATCAACATTGAAAATGTCAAATGGTTTTTTTTTTTTCTTCTCTCTTTCAGTTTGATTCATATAGAAAAACGAAAACGAAAGATGAGTATCGTATTCCCATTGGAATATAAATCTAACCTTTGCATTTCGACCGAAAAAAAAAAAACAGAAACAACAAAGAACATGAAACTTCATTTATCATAAGAGTGACTATAAATGAACACGATGGTTTTATCATTGTATGACTACGTGACCTAATCTTACTTTAAAATAACATAAAAAGATAAATGTTAGTTCGATGTCGACAGTTATTAGAGTTTACTGTCATTTTTAACAATGCGTTGTTCTGTAACATATAACCAAATACAGAAAAAAAGGAAAAAGAAAGAAGAAAAAGCTTTTCTTTTTGACCATCTGCTTAACCAGACAGTTGAACTCAAATACAGATAAAAACAATAAAGAATAATAACATCATCGATATTTATTAGTTCAACATCAATATTCAATAACAGAATATTATTTATTTCTATCAACAAATCATTACTTTTTATAAGACTTTTTATTTTCAAAAAAAAACCAAATAGAGAAAATGATATAATTGTTAATTTTTTCTATTGAATTCTAATTAAAAATAGATAAATTGAATTTTGAATAATAATTATTTTATTGAAAAGTGTTCAAAATCATTGAAAAATAAGTTTATGTTTTAGTTATTAATTATACAAGTGGAGAAACAAAACGAGCTCGTACAGCTTATACTCGACATCAAGTATTAGGTTATATTTTATAGATTTTTATTTAATTAATTCTATGAAAAATTGTTTTTTTTCCTAAATAGAATTAGAAAAGGAATTTCATTTTTCAAAATATTTAACTCGTCGAAGACGTATTGAAATAGCTCATTCACTTGTATTAACCGAACGGTAATATATTTATTTATTTATTCTTTTTATATTTAATTTACACGATTCGATTTCACTTTCTTTTTTAAAGACAAATCAAAATTTGGTTTCAAAATA